TTGTTCTCGTCGGGTGTTTTGGCAACGGCAGCAAAAAGCTGACCAAAACAGGCAGTGTCTGGCATACCCTAGGAGCTCAAGAAGATGTAGCTCCTCTCCCCTGCCCCATTAAAATCCCACCAGTGGATTCTGGGGATGTGGCTCAGAGCTTGCTGAGCATGTTCAAGGCTCTGCAGTCCATCCCCCAGTACCACCCACACACACAACGCCTACCAGTTGCGTTAAGGAATCCATTTTCTCTGTTCTTCAGACACAGCACGAAGGCTGCTTGCTAGTTGCTGTTGTCCCTGCTTTCTGGAGAGAGTGGGGTCCTGGGATCATGAGAGCTGCCTCCTTTTCTCTCAGGAAAGCCAACCTGGCAGGTGGGACACTGACCCTTGGAAGTCACCCACTCCAGAATGTCACCATCACCAGCCTCTCTGACCCCTGAGTTTTCACAAGGCTCCAAGCACATGCAATTCTGGATGCCTTCCAGGTGGGTTAGGGCTTCCTAGAACCCTGTGCCCATTAAGCAGCAATTCTCTGTTCTCCCATTTCCCCCCATTCTCCCTTCTCCAAGCCTGTGGAAACCACCCATCTGTGTTGTCGCTATGGATTTGCCTATTCTGGATACTTCATATAAATGAAGTCACACCATATGTGACCTTCTGTGTCTGACTTCTTCCACTGAGTAAAATGTTTTCTAGGTTCACCTGTTAGCATGTTTCCATGGTTCATTCCTTTTAGGGTTGAACAATATTCCATTTATGGACATACCACAATTTGTATATTCATTCATCCACTGGTGGATATTTGGGTTATTTCCACCCTTCAGTTATTGGGAATAGGGCTACTGTGAATATGCATGTTTATTTGTTTGAACACCAATTTTCAATTTTTTTGAGTATATGCCTAAGGGTGAATCTCTGGGTCATATGGCAATTTTGTGTTTAACATTTTATTTTATTTATTTTTTATTTATTGTCAGTGGGGGTTGAACCCAGGGAGGTTTTATCACTGAGCTACATCCCCAACCCTTTTTATTTATTATTTTGAGACAGGGTCTCACTAAGTTGCTAAGACTGGTATCAAATTTGTAATCCTCCTGCCTTAACCTCCTGAGTTTGCCAGGCCTGGGCCACTGTGCCTGGCTCTGAGTTTAACTTTTTAGGAACTCTAAAACTGTTTTCTACTGAGACTAAGCTGTTTCATATTTCCACCAGCAAAGTGCAATGGGTCCAATTTCTCCACAATCTTAGCAACACTTGTCTTTCTTTCATTTTAACCATCCTAGTTGATTTTAAGTGGTATGTCATTGTGATTTTGATTTGCATTGCCTTGATAACTAATGATGTTAAGCATCTTGTCCTGTGTTTGTTGGTCATTCATATATCTTCTTTGGAAAAAAAAAGTCCATTCGATTCCTTTATCCAAGTTATTTTTAAATCAGGCCATCCTTTTGTTGTTGAGTGTAAGAGTTCTTTATATATTCTGGATACTAGGCCCTTATCAGATACATGGTTTGCAAATACTTTTTTCCATGCTATAGAATGTCTTTTCATTTTCTAGATAAAATCCTTTGTTGCACAAAGAACAATTTAATCAGCTTTTTGTTGTTGTTGTTGCATGTACTTTTGGTGTCATATCTAAGAATCTGTTGCCTAAGCCAAGGTCATGAAGATTTACCCCTATGTTTTCTTCTTAGAGTCTTATGATTGACTGGTTTTGAGTGAACTTTTTGTACATGCTATGATGCAGGGATCTAACTTTATTTTGTACATAGGTGTATGCAGTAGTTTGGATATGGATTGTTCCCCAGTGCTTTGTATGCTGGAAATTTGATTTCCAATGTTAACTGTGTGGAAAGGTGGTGGGACCATTAACAGATAATTATGTCATGGGGGGAGGGGCTACCTTCAAGAATGAATTAATGTCTTTCTCAAGAGACTGGGTTCGTTCTCGTGAGACTGGATTAGCTTTCATAGAAGTATGTTGCATCTTGAGGGACTGGATGAGTTACTGCAAGAACTAACTTGTTATAAAGCAAGGTTACTTCTAGTGTTCTGACCTCTTCCACACACACCTGCTCATCATTCTTACACATATTTCCATCATGTGGTGCCCTCTGTCATGTTGTAACAGCATGAAGTCCTTGATAGATGTGGTCTCTCCATCTTGGACTTTTCAACCTCCAAAATCATGTGTCAAAGTAAACCTCTTTTCTTTATAAAATATTCCATCTCCAGTATTTTGTGTTAGTAATAAAAAATGGACAAAGACAATATAATTGTCTGATTATTCTCTTCAAATCCTTTTACCATTCTCATGAGAGAGAAAGCAATGTTATCAAATTCATTTTACAGATGGGGAAACAGATTTTGAAAAGTGAAATGTTGCCCAAAGCCACAGATAACAGTGCAGATGGTGATCTCAAGCCTATCTGGATCACAGTCAGAGTTTTTGACCTTCATAGCTAACGCTTCCTGTGTCCAGGCCACCTCTTCTCTGATTTCAGCACGGCTGTGGAGTTTGGTCCCCACGTGCTGGCAGCACGGCTTTTCAGTGGTGTGGGATCATGTCTCTGCTTTTGTGTCTTGAGGAGTTTTTCTAAAGCCTTGAAAGGCATCGATGTTCACCCCCAGGGACTTTCACCAGGAAACCCTGGGTGACGCCCTTCCAGGAGGATAACGCAGCACAGCTCCTCTGGGAATCCAGCCCCCTGTGCCCATCACATGAAGTGACCCAATGAAGCATCCCCCTCTCCGCCCCATACCACATCCCCACTTGCTGGGAGCCCCACCCAGTCAGACCACCCACACCTGAACCCCTGCTCAGCTCTGCTTTCAAGGGATCCAACAAACTCACCCACCAGATTTCACAGGAGGGGCCTCCTCCTCTCACTGCCACTCCTCCCTTCCGAGCCCCATCCCGTCCACGTCCACAGGAGGCCTGAGTGGTCCAGCCTAGGCCACAGCTCCTGCTGTCCCCATATCCCAACCTGGAGGCCAGGACACAGGTATGGACTATGGCTTTGAGCACATCTACAAAAAAAGAAAACACATTGCCTCTGTTCTAACCTGAACAAGAGTTCTACCCCAAGGCACTTGCTCTTCCGAGAACACACCTGTGGCTGAGCTTCCCCAGGAAACGATGACTCTCAGCACCCAAGGTTCCTCCATCCAGCACCCCCACCCCAAGGTCCCAGCACAGAGGAAATCTCTGGGAAGGGACCAGGAGCATGGTAAGGGCCCATGTCCTGGCTCCATTCCTACTCTAGAGGTTTTCATTGACTCACATTTTTCCAAATGTAGATGAGCTTTCCTAACAGAGGGGCTTGGCCCAGGAGACTACCCTGAAATTCGCTTCCAGAAGTCAGAAGAGTCCCACAGGCAAACCCCACCCCATCAACCTAAAGTCCCCCTGCAGAATCTGCCGCCCACCAGGAGCCTCTTCCTCTCTCCCCAAGGGCTTTCCCAGCAGAACAAAAGCAGATCCTTCCTGTCTACCAGCCCCTGCCCCACTGCTCCTTGAGGGCTGCCCATTGTCCAGGCTTTCTGACCTGCAAGCCGTCTGGGGACAGTGTGATGGTAGGTTGGGAACCAGAAAGTCACATCCAGGTTCTTGGCCTGGGGCCACCCATTGCCAACCCCCAAGGCCAGTTGACAGAGGAGGCAGGAGCAACTTCAGCTTTTCATGTCTTCTCTCAAAAACCCCTTGCTTTCCCCCACTGTCTCCCCTTCACACACGGCAAACGCACAGGGAATTGCAATCCTTTCTTGACTTGCTGTGACCCCATGAGACACAAGCTCTATAGTCCCACAGCCCATGTGACACAGCTTGGAGCCTGTTGTGGGGGCTCAGGGAACGTTGGCTGGATAAGCTGTGAGCAGAGCAGACATAGCTGCTGTCAGTCTTTACTGCACACTGGAACCACCCGAGAAGCTTACAAAGGTAAGACCTTAGGGTCCTGCCCCAGAAGTCCTGATCTGATTGGTCTCAGGGGGAACCCAAGCCACAGGATGTTTTAAGAATTACCTGGGTGCTTCTGGTGAAGACAAAAGAAGTTCTCAGGTGCCAAAAGCATACACTGGAGAAAAGATAGCCTCTTCAACAAATGGTGCTGGGAAAACTGGAAATCCATATGCAACAAAATGAAATTAAGCCCCTATCTCTCACCATGCACAACTCAACTCAAAAATGGATCAAGGACCTAGGAATTAAACCAGAGACTCTGCATCTAATAGAGGAAAAAGTAGGCCCCAAACTCCATCATGTGGGATTAGGCCCCAACTTCCTCTTTTTTTTTTTAGTTCTCGGTGGACACAACATCTTTGTTTGTATGTGGTGCTGAGGACCGAACCCGGGCCGCACGCCTGCCAGGCGAGTGCACTACCGCTTGAGCCACATCTCCAGCACCCCCCCCCAACTTCCTTAATAAGACTCCTATAGCACAAGAATTAAAATCAAGAATCAATAAATGGGATGGATTCAAACTCAAAAGCTTCTTCTCAACAAAAGAAACTATCAACAAGGTAAACAGAGAGCATACATCCTGGGAGCAAATCTTTACCCCTCACACATCAGATAGAGCACTAATCTCTAGGGTATATAAAGAACTCAAAAAGTTAAACACTAAAAAAACAAATAACCCAATCAATAAATGGACCAAGGACCCGAACAGACCCTTCTCAGAAGAGGATATACAATCAATCAACAGGGGCAAGCTCTCCTCAGGGGAGGGAACTAGAATAGACATGCAAAGGACAGGATAAGGAGGGATGGGGGGCAACGAGGGGACAGGGGATGCCTGGAGTGCAACGTGGAGGACAACATAAAAGGCAGAGTGTCTGGGAAAGTGCCGCAGTCCGGCTGCAGCAAAATAACCGGGGGGTGACGAACGACTTGTGTAGATTGATACAGAAGGAGTGGAAGCCGTTTATTGTAGGACAACAGAGGTATATATACATTCCACATAGCTTATCTGATTAACATAAACTCGATACAGCAGTCAACCAATAAGGAATCTCCATACTTAGTGGCTCGCTGGCATTACTTCACAAACCGCTCCCTCTGGCATTTTGCCAGGCGCCATCCTGACTTGTTTACAGACTCTAACAGGAAAGGAGTTGGTGAGGCCAGCAAATGGCAGAGTCCACAGGACTTGAGAACCCAGGGGAGGAGAAGATGCCCAAGTCTGGAGGTGAGGCAAGAACTCGAGCTGAGGTCAGTCCTCTGCTCTGGTCTTGGAGTGTTCCTGAGGACTAGCATGGAGCTGGTGACCCACCATCATCTTTACCCCCCAAGAGTGGCACAGCCTCCACACTAGCTCCCCTGCCTCCTCTCAGGCCCCATCACCATCAGTCCTCCTGCCAGCAGCCAAAGTGACCACTCAAGACATTAACCAGACCTGGTCGTTCTCCCTATTTAAATCCTCTAGGAGATTCCCCAACCCACCTCATTCTTATAAAGCAAAATTCTATATCCAGTTGACTGTACCTGAAGCACAATTGACATCACATTGGCAGGGAGGCCGTGCCTGCCACAAGCTACTGGCAGTCAGCAACTGAATACAAAGGAGATAACAATTGCTAGGACTCTCTGGGCCCACTTTGGTCCCAGGGCTCCCCAAGGGCCTTGCTGCCCCTCCCTTAGACCTCAAGGGGGTCTAGAATGCTTCCACTTAAACTTCCCACCCTGATGGGAAGGACACCCTTATGTAAAGCCAGCTTTACATAAACCCTCAGAACCAGCCTAGCCAGCCTTCTTCTTAATGAATGTGGGGCTGAAGCTTCTAGTTGATGATCTAATGCAAGAAGCAGGAAAGTGAGCAGCTATTCTTAAGCCCTTTCCTACTCGGGGAGGTTATGCTGTCTTAGGGCACGTTCCCTAAGATTCAGAACAGGTGATTTATTAAGGAAGTGTGCCCAGGGAAAACCGGTAAGATCACAAGGCAAGCAGGATAGGGAAGAGGAAGGGCTTGCAGAGGGGTCTGCATGGGAATGGTGCATCATGGTGCCTGAGCCCTCTGCATGCACTCAAAGTCCTGATCACAGCCTGTCTGAATGCGGTGGGCAGAGTGACACCCCCTTCCTCCCAAAGACGTCTGTATCCTCATCCCTGGGACCTGTGAATTTACTACCTTACATGGCTAAAGGACTTTGTGAATGTGAGTAAATTAAGGATCCTGAGATGGGGAGCTCATCCTGGAACACCCAGAGAGACGCAATCCCAGCGTTCTATGGAAAAGGGAGGGTCAGAGAGGGAGAGATGGAGAAGCCACAACCCAGGTACAAGTTGGAGGGCCGCGATGGCTGACAAGGGCCATGCCAAGGAACGCAGGCGGTTTCTAGAAGCTGGAAAGGACACTCGGAGGACTTCTCCCCTGGAGGCTTCAGAAGGAGCACGGCTTTGCCCACACCTTGGTTGTAGCCCAGGGAACTCCATTTCAGACTGCTGACCTCCAGGACTGCAGAAAGATATTAAATTTGGGTGAGGACACCAGGCTCGTCATCATTTGCCAGGGCAGCAACAGGAATCCAAAAGTATGTGCAAAACTCCCTGGAACAAAAGAGGTGGGAGATGTGTCAGGAGATGGTGGTGACTTCTGCCTCCCGGTTTCTGCTCAAGTATGGGTCACCCCCACTTGGCCCATCTAGAATTGCCTCCTCAGCAATGGGGTATCTCCCAACTGACAACTTGTCACCGGGCTTGTTTTGGTATCACCCTTTATTGGTGTGTGGGACCAGGACCTGGGGAGTTACCGCTCTGGATTGTTCTTCTCGTTGTCTGTGTGAGTGAAACACCATCTTAATGTCTTTTCTGCTGCTGTAACAGAATACCACCAATGGGTCGTCGATAAGCAATAGAATATTTGGCTCACCATTCGAGAGGCTGGGCGGTCCAAGTCCAAGGGCCTCTGTGCTGTTCTAAAATGGCAGAAGGGAACAGAAAAAAAAAAAATCAGGTCAAACTTCATCCCTTTTATCAGGAACCCATTCCCACAAGAACGTCATTAATCTGGGGCAGCCATCAGGGTGCAATTTCATACTCCAGGCTGGGCTTGCCTGCAGATCAGAAAGAGGCAGTTCTTTTTGTCGGGATAGAGCACGAGGGTCTCCACCGGCACTTTTCATGCCAAGGTCTTTGTGGAAGTCAGTGGGCAACCTGCCACGCCAGGGTTCCTGGAGCCCAGGAAGGTGGCTCAGTCCCCAACCCCAACACAGGAGAGTCTGATGGCGGTCTCTAAACACTACTGTGGCTGTGCAGAGACAGCACAAAAAGGAGGTCTCCCTCTCCTCTGGATGCACCTTTCTATGACCCCAGCTCCTCACCCACCTTCTTTCCAGACCCCTCTCCGATGCCATTTCATTGCTTACATTTTCCTATTGACTTTTCTCCTTCCCTTCTGACTCAGGGATGCCAAAGGCCCACAGGTACTTGCAGCCTTGTTCAGCCACAGAGGAGCCTCCTTAGCAAAGAAGAGAGACTCTTGTGACCTGAAGGAAAAGACGGGTGTGGTGGTGGGGGGTGGATATTGATATAAGGAGACTGCAAATGTTTCTATAAAGGACCTGACAGTCAATACTTTGGACCCTGTAGATCAGGTGGTCTATGTCACAACCACCCAACTCCGCCACCGTCGCATGAAAGTAGCCACAGACGTTGCCGTGGCCAGGTCTGTGTTCCAAAAGGATTTTATTTACACAAACATGCTGCAGGTTGAATGGGCCTTCAGGCACCCCGTGTGGACCCCTGGTTTACATGGTTGCACAATCCAACGAGTTAGAAGGAACTTTAGACACCACCTAATCCAGGGACGACAAGTAGGTTTCAACCCACCTGCCAGCTTCAGTAGTGACTCCCTGACTAGCTATATTGAAAAGGATTCTGAGGCCAACATCCAGCTTGGCGGGAAAGTGCCATCGCTAAATAGCACTCTCTGCCATGGAGTGGCAGGGGGATGAAGCACTATTGCCCCAGATTGGCCATTGGATTAAACCTAACTTTATATGCAAACAGATAGATCCCAGAGAGTTAAGTGACTTCCCCGAGGCCACCCAGCTACAGCCAAGGCCTTGCGTGTTAACTGGCTTCTTCACATTATTCAGCAGCAAAATGGAAAGTTGCATCTGTCCAATTGCCTTGTCACACACGTCTAAGCCAAATGATCGGCCATGGCTTCCTTGTGCCAAATTTTCCAGTCTGGCCTCTTGAGAGTCAAGTGACAGAACCCAGGGCCCCGGCCAGTCCTTGATTTCTGTGAATGGATGTCTTTGGGGTTTTCATGACCATAAAAAAATACTGCATTTGTAATGTCTCAAAAATTAAGATTTTGGCTTCGAGGGAGAGCTGCCTGCCAGATCCTTGTTCATGGGGGCATGAAGTGGCCCTGGCAGTAGCGAGGGCTTCCCCTTTTAGCAGGAAACGCTTCGTAAGTGCCACACAGCCCTCTATCCCATGAGCCCTGCAGCGTGAAAGCTAATCTTGAGAGAATGTTCTCAAGCCTCCAGCTCTGGTATTACCATGCCTGTTTCCTAAAGTTTTAATGGTTATGACGATCAGAAAATAACTACCAGGTTCCCGTTTCCAGGCCCATTAATGAGCAACTCTAATAACAAACTTGGAAGGCATGTTGCAAGGAGAACTTTTTAAAGAAATTTTAAGACTCTGAATTCTGTAAACTAAGCTATTTTGCTTAAAAAAAAAAAAAAAAAAAAAACACCTCTAAATGTCCACTTTAGAACGTGTCTGGTGTCAGAGCTTTGAAACCGGGCCTCGGTGTATGTGGCTGGTAAACAGAGTGATACTTATTCATGGATCTGTTGCAATGGTCCAATATGTAACAGATGGCAGCCGACGTCCATAGGCCCCAGGGTCACTCTGGAGGTCACTTACAACTTCGGTGGACACTCTGGGGCCACACCTGGGGCTGCCTCCCTTGAGCTGTGGCATGTCTCAGTCTGAAGGTGTTCTCTCTGAGTCTCCCTGAACTTCTATCCACGGTGCTCAGCTCCCAACAAGCATAGGCCAGAGGGACCAGCAGAAAGCTGCACCCAGGAACAGCCCCCAAGCAAATAGGATTACCAGGAGGCAGTGGAAAGGATCCCAGGGTGCTTGCCCCTCTGGGTACAACTTTGAGATATGGCTTGGTGGGATACATTTTATACAGCCACTCCGAAGGTCCCCAGAGGCACTGGAGCCCTGTTTCCTTCTCTCTTTAACACACTCCTTTGTTGATTGTCTTTCCTTCCCTGTATCACTGATTCACTCCTCCTGCTACATCCTGGGGTCATCACTCAAATAAACTACCTCATTCTAAGGGCATCGCAAACCGAGCCTCACGTAGGCTTAGGAAAGTGAGGGAGAATATGCGTGCGTCTCCCACCCAACATCACAGAAGGGGCTGAGAGAGGTAAAGCTGCTGGCAGCTAGGGAGGAGGGGCATCGGATGGTGCAGTGAGGACCGTCCTGTCAAAGAGCAGGAAACCCAGCGGTGGCAGCAGGATTTGTCTTTCCGGCATGCTTTCCCATTCCCTATTTTTGCTGGTTGCTCTGAGAGCCTCATTCATGACACAGTCCCTGGGGGCCCATCCATGGTGCCCCCGGATCCATCCTCATCACATCACTGCAGTAGACAGGGATCCAGCGAAGGCATTCAGAATATGCCATCCTCTTGGACGCCATGATGGGCTCCATCAAGGTCGACCTCCCCGAGGCTGATGTGGGTTTCTGGGACAGCCTGTAAAGAGAGCTGGTAAATCGGGAGTCTACAGTAGGAGGATGGGTGGTGGATGCCTGGCATTTTATCTGCTGTGGGAACAGAGCATGTATCCAGAAGGAGAGTAAATACAGATGAGATAAGAGGTGTGTGTGTGTGTGTGTGTGTGTGTGAGAGAGAGAGAGAGAGAGAGAGAGAGAGAGAGCAAGCAGAGGAAATAGAACTCCAGTGACTCTGGGGACCTCTGGAGAGGCTGTATAAAATTTATCCCACCAAACCATATCTCAAAATTGTACACAGAGGGGCAAGCACACTGGAGTCCTTTCCACCACCTCTTAGTAATCCTCATTGCTTGGAGAGCAGGGCAGAGATTGCTCCCATCACCAGAGCCATTGATCCAGCCATACCTGAAATGAGATCGCCTTTGGAATCTTAGCAGAGCCAACACATTCCCTTTATGCTTATTTGACTTGAATGTCTGTCATGTGCAACCAAAAGGGTCCAGGAAAGAAGGGGACATTTTCTGCAGCATCTTCCCTGAAAAATTTATTTTCCTGACCAAAAGCCAAGCTGTTCTGCATGACCCTTTTCCCCTGTCCCAATTCTCTACTGATGGGCACCAGAGGAAAACAATGTCACTTATTTTGCAGCCTTCTACAGACCTAAGCAGCAGCTAATAGAAGCAAAAATAGCTACAGCTATTAATAAATTGGTCCAGACTTTATAAGTGACCTTTGAACAATTGCAGAACAGCAGACAGAGGGTCTGAGAAGTCAACAATTAGTGTCAAGTGATGTTTTAATGTGGGATCAGAAAACAAAAGAGGAGAATCCAGGAAAACCCAAAATAGATATCTAGTAGCCACAAGAGATAAGAATTTAATCAATGATTTAACGTGGAAAGATGAAAGCTACACCCATTCATGTTACCCATATATTTATTGACTGATAAACATTTATTTAAAGGTCTTATCTCGAGTTCCCTTGAAGCAAAGCTTTAGACAAATTTTCAGTTGCAAGAAGGTGGTGTCTAGTGAGTGGCTTGGGCTGACTCTGCCATTTGACTTTCTGACCCATTCATTCCATAGTGCTGCTTCACATGGAATTTACTTAAATACAAGTAACAGGACACCCAAGTAATCGTGGCTTAAAAAAAAATGAAGACAACTATTTCATGAAATAGGAATGCCATGGATTTCATGAAATAGAAATAACTGTTTTTGTATAGTAGCCTCGTGACATGAAGGACCATGGATTTTTCCATCCCTCCTGCTCTACCAACCTCAGTGTGTCGGCTTGCCATCCTCTTACGTATCACTTCATGGTCACAGGATGGCTGCTGCAGCTCTAGACATCACCACCACCACAAGGTCAGGAAGCCTAGAGAGGCAGGGATATTATAGCACATGTTATTAAAGTTCCTTCCTTACCCATCCATGTTACCAATTCAGTGAACTTCAGCCAATTTCCAACTGCCTTTAACTAAACATTTTTTTTCCTAAAACAATAGAAGATTGCTTTGCCCATGAGCTTCAGGTCAGAAGCACCGAAAATTTCATATCTGCCAAGAGAAATTCCCCTCGGTCCTGAGGGGAAGTTAGTATATAAAAACTCCAGTTCCCTCACTCCTTTAAGGGATGACTTCAGGGTCTGTGATTCATACCATCTCTAAGCAAGTCTCTGCCTGATTAAGCTCCAGTGACCAGTAGTAGCTGCTCCATAATGTGCCCTTTGTGAGCTGCTTCTCCTTCCTGCCTCCCTTCTCTACTCCCCCACCAGTGTTTCCTGGGATTATGTTTCCAAAAAAATGTCTTGCCTTGAATGCTAGAGAGGCCCCAAAGTCAGACAGCTTTTCCTTTTATCCAAGAGATGAAAGTTTTCCAGAAAATCCCCAGTAGACCTCCTCTCAGCCAGACCTGGGTCCCTCTCCCATCCTCCAGGTGCCCTGGGGGAGTTAGAACAGCAAGCATCCGGCAAGGGGCTTCAGGGCAGTTGTCCTTCTGGAAGCTGGGCTCACCCATGTCAAGGCACCTTGGCGAAATGGATGGAATAAGCAAAGATCGTTGAGTGGGCAACTTGCCAAGTGCCAGGTTCTGTTGGGTCATTTAAAATCAGTGAGACAACGCAGTAGCGGTCATGCTCGGCATATTTGCAAGAGACAGGAAACTCGGAGTAAGAAAATGTGCTGGACACCAGAATGAGGAGCCTCAAGAGCCGGCTCTCAGCACAGTGGGCTGAACGGGTCACGATGCGGGTTCATGGGGGTCGACGTAACAACCTACAGCAGGGAGTCAGAAATGAAATCAAACCAACGCCACTGCACCATTGAGAGGTGGAAAAGTGAAGGCTCATCTAGAACACAGGGACCAAGGCCTGGATGCTTCCACATGTCCCCAGTGTAATGTGTGGGTGGAGCTCCAAGAGGATTACAGACCCTGTAGACTAAACATCTGTCCCTGCCCCCATCCATATGTTGAAGCTCTGATTCCCAAGGTGATGATATTTGGAAGTGGGGGCCTTTGGAAGGTAATTAGGGTTAGATTAGGTCCTGAAATCGAGGCTCTCGTGATGGGGTCATATTCTGGTTTGGATATGAGGTGTCCCCCAAAACCTCACATGTGAGACAATGCAAGAAGGTTCAGAGGAGAGATGATTGGGTTGTGAGAGTCTTAATCTAATCTGTGAATTAATCCCTGATGGGATTAACTGAGTGGTAACTGGAGGCTGGGTGGGGGGTAGCTGCAGGAGGTGGTTAATTAGGAGTGTGGCTATGGGGTATATATATTGTAACTGGAGGGTGGAGTCTCTCTCTGCTTCCTTATCACTGTGTGAGCTGCCTCCCTCTGCCACACACTCCGCCAGGAGGCTCAGCCTCACTGGAGCCCCAAGGAATGGAGTCTACTGTCTATAGATGGAGACCTCTGAAACCGTGAGCCCCTGAATAAACCTTTTCTCCTCTACAATTTGGCTGGTTGGGTTTTCTAGTCACGGCAGCAAAAAAGCAGACTAAAACAGATTAATAAAAAGAGGAGGAAATGCAAGGGTCCTTTCTCTTTCTCTCCCTCCCTTCCCCACCCCCTCAGAGAGCAAGAAGGTGGCCATCTGCTAACCAGGCTGAGAGCCATCACTAGGAATTGGATTGGCTGATACCTTGATCTTGGACTTCCTGGCCTCTAGAATGATGAAAAATAAATGTCTATCATTGAAGCTATCCAGTCTATGGTATTTGTTACAGCAGCCTATTATGGTCTGAATCTGAGGTGACCCCCAAATCTCCTATGTGAACCCAGGGACGTTCTGAGATGATATGACTGGACTGTGAGAGCTGTAACCTAATGTGAATGGACGGGCTGGGTGGTGACCCTAGGTGGGTGGGCGTGGCTGGAGGAGGTGGGTCCTTGGGAGTGTGCTCTGGAAAGGTTCACCTTCCTTGTAGCCCCTTCCCCTCTCTCTCTCTCTCTCTGCCTCCTGGCTCCCATGAATAGAGCAGTGCCTCCCCACCACACCCCCTTCCGCCATGATGTTCTGCCTCATCTCAGGCCCAGAGCCATGGACAGAACCTCTGAAATTCTGAGCCCAAAATAAACTTTTCCTTCTCTAAACAGTTCTTATTGGGTATTTTTGTCATAGCAATGAAAATCGAACTAGTACACATCCCGTGCTGAGTAGGACAACAGGTGACATCCGTGGAGGTTGGTGTTGAGGTATAGGGAAGAGCAAGTACTGTGTCGTCCTGACCTGGATGGACCATGGCTCCAGCCGTGGGAAACACTTGAAATAGGCAGAGAGTCAAGTCAAGTGCTCAGAAGAGAGTGGCCAGGAGGGAGACAGACCCAAAAGTCATGTGAGGGGACAAGAGGCATTGGCTAGAGGGCTAAGGAAATGTGGCAGATGGAAGAGAAAACTGGAAGGGGACGGTATAGTGGGCTCAAATATTGTTTGTCTCCTGGAGGAGGCATAAATCCTCATACACCTCCAGTAATCCCCTGATACTGTCTCAGTCAGGGTCCCATCAGGAAAACAGGACCCTCAGATATTTCAAACAGAAGAAACTTAATACAGTGAATTGGTTACTAAGGTACAATAATATCCCCTCAGCTGTGACTTTGCTTTCCACGGCTTTGGTTACCTGTGGCTTTAATTGAGGTTCAAAAACATTAAAAGGAAAATTCAAGAAACACACAATTTATAAGTATCAAATAATTTTTATTTAGTATATTGTTATGAATTTTATATTCTATTATTATTAACCTTTCACTGTGCTTAATTTATAAATTAAACTTTGTCGTATGGTATGCATGTATAGGAAAAAAAGAGGAGTATGTATGGGGTTTGGTGCTACCATTTTCTTCAGGTATCCACGAAATGTCTTGGAATGGTTTTCCCCGTGGATAAGGAAGAACTGCTATCTTGAAAGGATGGGTGGAGCAAACAGGGAAAAGGTAAAAGTACTTAACAGTTAATAAGTGCAGAAAGCCATGAGCCTTTTGGGGGCCGGAGGAGCAACATGGAGAATGGGATAACACAGAGCCATCCGTCACTTGGGCACCAGAGCTACAGAAGCAGGAAACCTAGAAACCATATGCATTGCACTTTTGCTGGAGGGGGCCGCCTGAAGCTGAAAAGCAACACGATTTGCTTCCCCTTCTGCTGCCTTCCAGTGTGTCTTCAGGGCCTCCCATTGGCTGAATCTAAGCAGAAGTTGGTTGGTAAGAGTCTGGGAAATGCCCCCTGCAGAGTTCCAACCCCCCCCCCTTTGGCAGAGAGCAAACGCAGAGGACAGAAACGGAGCCAAGAGCCAACAAGTTCACAGTGCAGGGTGGCAAGCGGAGAGAGAGTATGGGATGGATGTAAGACCCCTCCAACAGCCAGAACCAGACAAAGATGGCAGGGTGAGGCGAGAGTGCCCCTCTTCTGAGATCTTTCAGCAAAATAGAACGAAGTTCCAGTATCCCATAGCTCACTGGACAAGATGCTTTATAAGGTCCAAGAGCCTTAGATTCCCATTACTTATTGTGTCTGTTTCTGTTTCTAGGCCTGTGTTCTGTTGCATGGTTTATGCATTTCTCCAGGATGTAGAGTACGTGGTTCCTGTTAGACGTGGATCTCCCTGGGAACTGGGCTCACAGCCGTCCTCGCATCCCATTGCCTCCCAGCCTCTTGGTGCAGCATTCATTAATGTTATCACCAGATGGGTGAGCTTCTCTGTTCAGGGGATTATTTATAACTCTGCTCAGCTCTTGAAATGTGCCCAGGGTCTTCAAGGAAAGAGCCCTTCCAGAAAATGGACAGGCACCAAAAAATAAATTATCCAGAAAAAAATAAAACCTTTTTCTCCATCACAAAGAGAAACTGAACCACTCATTAGCCTCAGGAGTCAGTCGGATTTTCTAATGCGTGAGACCAAGAGGCAGGACCATGAATATTCATGAGCTTACTTCTGAAATGAAAGTGTTTGAAAACCTTCTTTTAGGTACTGCCCATTCTAAAAGCTATTAACTGTTAGTAGACAATAGGCTGATGGACCCCCAAATTCTTTAACAAGAAGACTTGGGGCATAATAGGGTTGGGATCTGAGGTGTCCCCCAAAAGTTCCTGCGTTGATGAAGGAGGTGATGTGATTGGATTGTGGGAACTGTAACCTAATCAGCCCATCCTAGTTTGAATGGCCTGACTGAATGGTGCTGACTGTAGGCAGGTGGGCGTGGCTGGAAGAGGCATGTCACTGGGGGCGGGTCCTGGAAGGGTGCATCTTCCCTGAAGCCCCTCCCTCTCTGGGCTTCCTGGCTGCCTTGAGGTGAGCAGCTTCTCTCCAATGAGCCCTTCAGCCATAATGTTTTGCCTCATTTTGGGCCCAGAGCAATGGAGTCAGCCATCTGTGGACGGAGACCTCTGAAAACATGAGTCCCAAATAAAGTTTTCCTCTTCTACGTTGTTCTCATTGGGAATTTTGGTCAAAGCTGACTAAAATAACTTTGTTAGGACACGCCATGTTCTGACACAAGTTAATTCCTGATACAGGCAAGAGAGGGAAGCTAGCCAGATCACCAATTTCAGATTGAAAGCTTTTGGTCAGGGAGAAGTCCAGGTAGATTTATAAGCGGTACAGGCACCACCCACACTAATAGTGACCGTTTCCACCTTGGCCCCCATGCTGTTTAGTCTCCCACCGTTCAGTTATCTACATTCATAACGTTCTGTGGGAACCAACCCAACATGAGGAAGTGGGTTGTTATAGTTTGGATCTTGAATGTTCCCGAAGGCCTGTGGGTTGAGGCTTAGTCCTCAATGTGGTGATGTTGGGATATGGTGGGGCTTTTAGGTGGTGCGCCAAGTGGTAGGTCCTTAAGTCACCCAGGGTGTGCCCCTGAAGGAGGGTG